TTGTATCTGGACTATAGTATTCCAGAGTTTGCTTCCTTCATAAAATTGTAATCAAAACTCCAAACTCTGGAGTAAGTAGGAATGAATTATTGTAATCATGCAATTTATAAGTGGTGTATTTTTAGAACTTAAACATTGGAAAATGATGCAAGTCACGCTTTTAGTACAAGGCACATGGTACAAGTAACTTATGGTATAATGCGAGTATCCCTTCCGAAGCAATGACAAAACAAAATCTCCAGTAAAAATGATTAGTTGTCATTTATTGCATAATAGTCCACAACAATTAATTACAAAGATTCAGATCCTTTCTAAAGAATACATTTAACACTTCATACACATAACTTGAGAAAACAATTCCTAACTTAAATAGCACACTGCAATATTTGAGGTTCATTTTTAAGAATATGGTCGAGCTACAAGCCCTTGTGACCCTCCCCCCACAAATGTGAGGTGTGTAGTCAAGTTGTGGGAGGGGAGGAGGAGTCATAGAGGCTTGTAGCGAGACTATCAAAAATCTCATGAGTTATAATTCATTAAACTAATTGTCTTTCAAGTTATCATTATGGTATCCTGAATGACAATCAGTTTTACAAAACATATTAAGAGAAATAGGCCTTCAACCTCATTGACTATCGTTCTCGTAATAAGATGGAGGAATGAACATCTTGGTTTTTCTTCATTTTAAATCAGTATCACAGTCCATTAATCTACTTGAAGAGAAGCATAAAGACTAGGATAAAAATGTAACCAAAGATTTTCAAAAGAGGACTTACACACACAGAGAGAGTAAGCACTGATATTGTTCTGATTTAGAAGTTTGATGGAACCCCAGGATGAGACAAAATAAATAATGATGTCACATTCTAACAGCAACCATATTGTCACCTTGATCAGAGTAACATGTAACATGTTACTGTCATTCTTGAGTCACACTTAAGGTTTATCTTAGAGACAATCTTAGAGGTTAATGAATAATACATGCACAGTAGTTTTTCATACAATTCAATATCTATTTATCTGTTTATTTCATTTATCTACCTAATTCTACAGAATTTGCAAAGAACTGACACGCATGCTCTTGGGAAAAAAGAAATGAAATACAGTACAAGTCAGACAGTAAAATATAAAGTAGAAACTTATATTAGAAAAGATCTGGTGTTATACAATAATTGGAATTGTACTCAAACCTCGTCCACATGTTTATGCAGCAATAAGATGAAGCAACAAATGAAAACTAGTGCTGCCATCTTTTATTCAGATTTTTATTTGGGCCAGACTGCCATAGACTTATGTGTTTAGATCTTGAAATAGTGACTTAATTTCATGATTTATTAAAAAGTGTTGGTTGAATCTGTCTAAAACTTGAATGGTATACCATATGATGACCTTGTTAATGTATATATTGTGATTAAACATCAAAATTTGGGTTGGTAAACTCATAAACCAAGGTTTTTAGAGAATTTATACATTGCATCAATGGAGACTTGGCCCAGGTTTTTTCCAGAAAAGTTCTCTTAAATCTCTTAAAATCTCACGAAAAACAAGATTTAGTGAAATTTCAAAAGCTATATGGAAACTGTACTATTATACATACTTGCCCCAGACAACAGTTACAAAACAAAATAAAACAAAACAACCATGATTTTCAGACATAGATGTAGACATAGACATATATGGATACTTCCCATAGAAACATAAAAATAGGCCTTTTCTTGAAAAAATTAGAGTATTTTCTCAAAATTGAGGCGCACTTACCCAAAATGAAAAGAACCTTGGTGATATTTCAGAGAGTATAATGTTTAAAGTATTTCAGTTTGTATAAAATTGAAATTCAATTTGCAGTCAAACCATGGTGTGTACAAAGTGATAGCAAACACCTATAATCAATAGACAGACCTTTATGCACTTTAAAATTAATGAAACTGTCTTGTGACAGAATCTGGTGATAGTTGCTCATCATAACTGACTTCACCAAATCTTGAGTATTTGAGTTTATGAACAATTAATTTCTCATATTCAGACACATCAAATTACAAATATTAATTAACATAATCAATATCATAGTAATTTACATAATTTACATAATATGACAAATCAATAAATAAAATCTAATAATAAGGTTGTAGAATATTTGTCAATTGTTAAAAATTGACAATCATGACAAATTGAAAATAAAAATTGACTATCATGACAAATTGACAATCATGACAATTGACAATCATGACAAAATAACCATCATGACAATGTAATTTCTGGTGACCCATATCATAACTTGAGATTCATTTCCATATTGCACAAAATTCTGGAATGCTATATAAGTAAATGTTTCATAAACAAAATACAAAACAGAGTATATATTGCAGATAATTGTAAAATAAAATTATAAGGTATGTTTACAGTCAAATAAAGTGCAGGGTGGGCCAAAAATTGTCCTTAGTTTTTGTCAAAATAAAAGATATGAGCAATTTTGGCTCACCCTGTTTAGTTTAAAACAAAACCAGTAATACTTGGCTCTATAAAAATTATTCAGGTTCAAATGACATAAACCATGTTATTACTGTAATGACTAGCATTGGTTAGATGATAGGAATGTTTATAGGAACATACATATGTATATATATATATATATATAATCATTCTTAGAATACCTTAAATGATTTATGTGCATAATAATAAATAAGTAAAAGGTTCTAAATTGCACTAAAATAAAAATTGTAACAGTCAGCATGTATTGTTGTTGTATCTGGACTATAGTATTCCAGAGTTTGCTTCCTTCATAAAATTGTAATCAAAACTCCAAACTCTGGAGTAAGTAGGAATGAATTATTGTAATCATGCAATTTATAAGTGGTGTATTTTTAGAACTTAAACATTGGAAAATGATGCAAGTCACAATATAAAGTTCAATTTCCAAATGTTTGATCTGATCAATCGAATGTTTGAAAAAACTCCAGAAACAAATTGTACGCAATAAATGCCATAATAAATACAGATAGAAGAAAATTGGAATGCTTTTTACAGACTTACATTTACATTTTACTAGAAATATAAGCTACGATTGGAATAGATAGTTGATGAAATATTTAGAGGCTCTCTTAGGGGGTTAGTGTAACCCCCCTGAGAGCCCCAATATGAATAAACAGTCCTGAGCATTGCTAAAACAGTCTACATGTAATTTATATAACTGCAATATTTTATCCTCTATATGAAAGGATTCTATACACAATAAGTTCATGGTAGCCATACCTCATCTCTGAAGAGAATCAAGGCAAAAAATAAAATCATGCATATCTAAGTTTTGTCTTGTTCTACAACTCTAATTTATCAGAGACAGAAACAAAGCAATCCTTGGTTTATAAAGAAAAACGTGTATGACATACCATGAATCTTTTAATACATCTCTCTAATAATTAACCATATTGCCACAAATAATATTTCAATGGCCTTAAGGACTTTCAATAGATGGCAAAACACTCAGAGGGATGAATTGAATACAGAGTGTCCCAAAGAAAATTGTACTGATAAAAACATGGAATAACTCTTGATTTTGGAAGGAATAGTCTTGAATAATGATCATCTGAAAGATAATTTAATAACCATAAAGATCTGAAAGTGTCACCATGTAACTCTGTTAAAAGGACAACTGTCTTGTTTAAGTAACATCACACATTTAGAGCATGTCATCTAGAGCATGCTATCTAAAAGGTCAGATTTCTCGGTAAGTAATTCACAAATTTCTAAGAATTTCTAACTGTTTATTGGACAATGATTTCTCTTCATCATGTGAAAGGTTTATTTTTTTCAATTGAAGAAAAAGTTTTTTTCTATTTCATGTGGGTACAATTTTTGGGTCACCCTGTACATGTAAATATGTCTTCAGAAATCTCAAAAATATATAAACCATGGACACCAAACACTTAAAACTGAATGCACATAACATAGGTAGTGTATGTTTTAATTTCATTATAGAAATAAAACAAGAAATACAAAACAGCCCACTTGAGTACTGCCATCTATACAAGTCACCAAAACCATTGACAACTAATATATATTAATATACGAACCAAATAAATGCAGCATAATAATAAATTTTGCCAACTTCTATATCAAATTCCAAATCTGAATTTGTATCTGACTTAGCTATTCAATGTTTTATGAAAACGGAAAATGCTTACTCACAATGGCATATCTATTTCTCATCTCTACTTTTATATTTTGTATAAATACTTATTGCTCACTAAAATTCTTAGTGAACAGAAAATGTAATATTAAACACTTGAAACTTGTAACAAATGTCACAAAGTTATACTCATTCACTGCGCAAAGATTTTATCTGATATCTGAATAAAGCACTAGATCTTCTTGCATTGTGATGCAATTTACGTTTGTTCAGTGATCTCCCCAGGATTAAAGCATCGTAGTAATGCATTCTACAAAATTGCATTTATTGCATATGCACCCTGACAGAATTATGAGATGAAGTTTAATTTTGACCAAAACGGTTAAACAGTTAATTGCACTGTTGAGAAAAAAACTGGGGAAATTACTGAATTTGCTTCTTCAATTTAAAACATGTGCATTACGGCATTTGCCCAACAGGGTCATATTGAACTAGATCCTAAAAGCTGGTGGTGTTGGCATGTCGGTTGACTTCTCATTTAATCTATAATACAGTGTACAGTTTATTCAGCACATCTCACAAGCTTTTTTGATATTTCAACATCTCTCAACTTCGTTCATTTGGCTTTCATCTTTAACTAGATATTACACAGATGCTTCTTATTTGATTGACTGCTTTCTTTACATAGTCTAATGATGCGACCATTCTCAAGGTAGGTCGTGCGATACTCAGCAATATCAATCATGTTACACTACAAAAGGAGTGATATATCAATCTTTCTCTGACCACAGTGATATTTACTACTTACATCAGATCTCTTCAAAAACTGTATATACTGTATATACTATATTTATATACATTATATATAATATGATATACGTCATTCACTTTTAATTTAGAACTCTATTTTCAAACTTTATCTCTCTGTTGATTATTTTGATCACTACTATATTTGCGACCATTTGCTAAAAGTCGTTGAGTTTCGGCAATAAGTCTCTGGGCTTCTTGCTTCCGACTTTGTGAGGGCTTCCGCTCAAACACCTGAAAATAAAAAAAATGTAAAAATAAAAAATATTATACGAGCCTGATAAAAAAAACTCTCTCTAGAGAACAGGGAGGCAATGTTGTCCATGTAGGTAATTCTCGGACACTAAAATGCAGGCCTTCTTTTGTCCCACAATTACCTACATGGATGACATTGCTTCCCTGTCCTCTAATGAGTGAAAGTATTATTTTCTGGTATTTCTATCATGTCTGTTTATAGTTTGTGTAATATGCTTTCTTTTTTAATATTTTGCATACTTTAAATGAAGACAACTGCATTTCTATGTCCACATCAGATATTATAATGTGTTATGTCTCATATTTTCTAGGATTTAAAAATGCTCAGAACAAACCTCTAAATGCAATATTATTAATTTATGAAAAATGAAACACGATAATATTGGTGAAGTATTCTATTCTTAAACATGCATCCATCAACTATTTTCACATATTTGACAATATTAAATAATAATGATCATAAATAGGAAACTAATGATCTTCATATAAATATTTTTACATTAAAGAGATTGAAATTGAATGCTTTTCTATCAAATTAAAAATCATTATGTGATGTGTGATGTTGTATCTATTTTACTATTCTACATGTACCTTGTGTGATATTATTTTCATAGAGCATGCATGTTATGTTAAGACCAGTACACGATGCAATTAAAAGATTAACATGAGTTTAAAAAACACATAATTATGAGATCTTTTTAAAATGGAGGACAATATGTATAGACATATAAATTAGATACAGTTGTTAATTTTTGGAATACTCCATCTTATGCAATATATTGCTGATTGAATTCTGCATATAATTTAAAAATAAATATACAAAGTAGATAATAATGTAATAATGCTCAGTTAAGAGTTCTGAATGAACAGAGATAGTTAGAAATAATGAGAAATTAAGTAAACACATATAAATAGGAATAAGCAAATGCAGAGAATTTACTAAAGATACAAGTACCTCTGGGAACTCCTAAAATAAAATAGATAAAATTGTCAATTTTTGATGCAAAATAAAATGTGGCAGCAACACTTCTAATAGATGTACACCTTTGAAATATATTTGTAAATCTTTGAAATATAGATGTAAACCTTTGAAATACAGAGACCTTTGAAATATAGATGTAAATCTTTGGAATATAGAGATCTTTGAAATATAGATGTAAACCTTTTAAATCAAGAAACTTTTGAAATATAGATGTAAACCTTTGAAATCAAGAAACCTTTGAAATATAGAAACCTTTAAAATATAAATGTAAACCTTTGAAATATAGAAACCTTTGAAATATAGATGTAAACCTTAGAAATATAATGATTTATTTTTAAATTGTGCTTGATGAATATAAGATCAGGAAATATGCAGAAATACATGTACTACATATTGCTTCTCACACAAAAATGATTATTGAAATTAATTTATGCTTAAACTAATTGAGGTTGTCATAGGTTGTAATTTCTTATTATTAAGATCTCAAGCTTTGCTAATTTCTGGGTTTGTTTATTCATACAAATTTTCATTGAAAAGTAATTCAGAAAACATGAGAAACCTTTGAAGCTTAAGTCAAATTTTGAACACTAAGATCTGAAATCAACGAAGAAGGATATTAATTGGGTATAAATAAATCTAAGCTGGGTTTAGAAGGAGTTAGAATTCATGATACCACACATCTTGTAGCATTTCAACTTGTCACACCAACACCTTTTCTGAGCTTTAAAATCTATTTGGCAACGACTTGTTACACTTTCACAAAATTTTGAAGAAATGGTGCAAAAACATGAAGCACTAGGCATCAAAATTGAGTGATATGCTTTTAAAACACGGGTGGAGGTGTCAAAATTTCAAAATCAATCCATGCTTTTCAAATAATTAACCTTACTCCCACCTTAAAATACTCGATTCGTGTAAGGAATTCCAATGATGGGCTAGGTATATAAATGAGCAATCATAAATTCATGTATTTGGAAAGGCATTTAGAATTATATTAATTCTTGTGGCCAAATGCTACTACAAGCAAATGTTTGAAATATTACATCATAGGGGTTGCAGATAGAGTTGCAGGAAGGAGAGCATTAAATTAAATGCCTAAAATGAACCAATTTTTGTAAAGAAAAATAATTATCCTTGCATCCCTTCTTACCTCTTCATTTGCTGTTAATTCTGACGAATAGGAAGAAGAGGAGCTTGTGTCGCTGAAATCTGCACTTATTTTGCGACTGGTGTATGTCCTGGTTGTGGACAATAGTAGAGATTGGATTAGTTCACAGATTCTTCTAAACCTTCTACTGGGACCTGTAGTGTGAAATATAATTTTCATTATACATTTACTCTCTTTAAGGATTCAACACATTTATTTTAAAACTATGCAGTATTGTGAAATAATAGTAAATAAAAGAGATCTTCAGTGACAAAACAAAACAAACAAGAACACAAATGTGTACAAAATGTCCCAACCTATGGGTGATCCCGTCAAATGGTTATCCTAAAAATGAGTAGACAAGACTTTACCGACACAATTTGAGGACGGAAAATCCAAAATGGCTGCCTTAAAATTTACCCAGAATGCCAAAAAATTAGTCAGTTCTAGATTTTCCTACTAAGAACCACCCCTGAAAATTTGAAATTGATCCGTCACACAGTTAACCAGAAAACATGTAAACAAGACTTTACAGACAAGATTTGAGGACAGAAAATCCAAAATAGCTGCCTTGACATTTATCCAGAATGCCCAAAAACTAATCAGATCTAGATTTCCATACTAAGAATCATCCCTGAAAATTTGAAATTGATCTACCAAACGGTTCACCCAAAAACGCGTAGACAAGACTTTACAGGCAAGATTTTAAGACGGAAAATCCAAAATGGCTGCCTTGACATTTATCCAGAATGCCAAAAAACTAATCAGATCTAGATTTTCATACTGAGAATCATCCCTGAAAATTTCAAATTGATCTACCAAACGGTTCACCTGGAAATGTGTAGACAAGACTTTACAGACAAGATTTTAGGACGGAAAATCCAAAATGGCTGCCTTGACATTTACCCAGAATGCCCAAAATCTAATCAGATCTAGATTTTCATACTGAGAATCATCCCTGAAAATTTGAAATTGATCTACCAAACGGTTCACCTGAAAATGCGTAGACAAGACTTTACAGACAAGATTTTAGGACGGAAAATCCAAAATTGCTGCCTTGACATTTACCCAGAATGCCCAAAAACTAATCAGATCTAGATTTTCATACTAAGAATCATCCCTGAAAATTTGAAATTGATCTACCAAACGGTTCACCTGAAAACGCGTAGACAAGACATTACAGACAAGATTTTAGGACGGAAAAATCCAAAATGGCCGACAATAAAAAAGTGATTATGAGTTTTTGCTGATTTCCTTTTACAAAATTATCACATATAACTACTGTTAACAATAACATAGGCTTTTACAACAAAGTACACCTGAAATTATTTATAAAGCTAAGAAATAGTTTAAGTATGAAAACTGAAAAACACCATTCAATATGATACAAAGTATTATCGTGCGCTAACTTTTCTTAAAACATTCAAAATGGCTGACATGACTGAGCTAACAGGTCCAAAACCTAATCAGATCTAGAATGAAGTGAGCTGAACAAGATATTAACGTTTTAAAAGCAACTGTGAAGCCGTTTTTCTTAAAGTTTGCAGACAAGGATTTTAGCATTTGACTTCAAAATGGCTGACAGGAAGTAGGTATCGAGTTAATTTTTTTTCATCCACATCTGTATGCACTCATAAGTTATCCCTGAAAATTTGAAGGTGATATCTGTAGCGGTATTGGAGAAAACTGCCGGACGTACGGACAGACGGACAGACAGACAGACGGACAGACGGACGGACGCGCCTAGGCCGACAATATGGCCCCACACTATGTGGTGGGGACATAAAAAGGGAAGGATTTTCCCAAAACCAACTTTGAATAAACAAGTTTTTTAGAGTTCCTCGCAAATAATCAAATAATAAGAATAGGTTATGCATAATGGTTTCTGAGTTATTCAGACATACAGAATACAAAAACGATTGACCTGTTGGTATATGAATGGATAAATAGATGACAGCACTTGTGTTGGTTGGGCTACATACCAGTACAGGGCTCTCACCAGTAAATATTTAGGGTGTGGTGCTAACATCTTCAGAATAACCGTTCATTCTTGATAAATCATATTTATGTTATGTTTTATCCTTTTTACATGCTATTATTGTATATTCAGTCAAGTTTAGACTATGGAAACAGTCATGATTTGCCAATAGGGTGTGGAGGGAGCTAAATAGAGTGTGGTGCTGCGCCACAGTCTAAAAGCCTGGCGAGAGCCCTGCAGTACACTGTATTTACATTGGAAAAGGCTTATAAAAGTCATTTAATTCTTTATTAATCACACATATTCTTATTAGATTATTATAAGACTCCAAATATCAAACCTGCTAGAAGTGTAAAGTTGACACAATACATGACACCTGCATCCCCTTGACCATGTGCCCTCGATATATCTACTTGGAATCTGACATTGCGTGAGAGAAGAGAGCTACTTCCTGATCTCTTGTACTCAGCCCGGAATGATGTGGGAGATATTACATTGTGGCATAGATCCGGAGTCTACAAGAAAATAAATTACATTAACGTGGATTATTTCAAAAATCCAACCAGCTTATTGAGATGGATCATTGGTGTGCTAGTGTGGACAATCACACTATTAAGCTACATAAATATTAATTAAATTAAGTTCAAAAATAAATATATATTTTAGCTCAATTTGAAATTATTTTGATATTTACACATGTAGACAATGACATCTAATCTTGATGGCCAAAGGATCTATGTGTAAAGGATTACGGGAAATTTAAAAGGGGAAAGTAGTTTGAAGATTTACAGACATGTGATACTTACACATAAAAACGCATGGATAAGGTCAGCTTTTATTTCATTCAAAGCTTTATCTTTCACCATTACAAAATGATGCTCCTCTGGTTGACCCATTAGTGCACCAAACCACGACCTCTTTGACAACCTAAAGATGAAAATATGAAATATGATCATTGCACAATTAGAGGAGACCAATATCTATACATGCATTGATAAAACTGATGTTAAATGGGCAAGAAAGAATAGAGACGATGAGGGAGTTACATTTTGAAAATTATTACAAGTTTAAAATACTTCCATGCCTTGCCATAGTTTTACTGTATAACCCTTTGTAGCCTATTTGGCTCATCTATTTTAATTTGCCACAGTCATTTTTAGATCTACAGTCCTAAAACAGTTAATGACTATGTGGTCCTACATGTGATAAAATGTTTGTTATAATTGATACTTTGTTGTGTATTTATTATGCCATTTTTGACTGCCTCTGTTGACTGATCCAAATGTGGAGTTTTGTATTTCTAAAAGTTGTCATGAGATTCAACTTACTATGTTTCAAGTAATTGGTTACATCAGATATTGTCAAAGTTTCTTAACATTTTAATAATTTGATATCTAATAAGATTCAGTTTCATATTTTACATGGTGTTTTTAACACTCTCTTTGAGCTATTCCATTTTACACCAGTAATTTAACAGTGTGGCAATCAAGGTCAGTGTGACCTAGACCTGTCTTTTGAAAGTAATAAATTCTCGATCATAATTCATGGATTCAAATTGTCTTTTATAATGTAACAATGACAATAATGTTAGATATCTTTATAGAACTTGTGTCTTGTATTTTGAATATCTTGTCTTTTTTCATTAAAAACGGTAATTTAAGCTACAGAAAGATTTTCCTAGCAGTAGCAACCTCATGTTATAACTTACTCTGGAGAGTCAGGTGGTGTCATAAGCAGATCTTCCCCATTGCCTGAAAGCAAACAAGTCATGATGAAATAATATTCTGAATTTGTAACACTGCTGGATAATATCTGTAATTCTGATCATACATTATTATACTCCACATAGCTGCTTTAAAATAATATAGATATAATATTTCTGACTCAGCATTTCTTGCCCTACTCTGTGAATCAAATGTAAAATCTTATTATTATATAACAGTTTATTCATGGCATTCAATCAACCTTCAAATTGTTGCTTATACACATACTGTTCATGTACAATAAATTACAGTATGGTGTTCTCACAAGTCTTATCAAATTTAAATTTTCACTAAAGCGCCATTTCTTCTGATTTTCCTGTTTTCAAGAAAGTTTGAAACAGTTTCCAATGCCAGTTTCTTTTCAAATTTTCAAGTGAACTTTATAATACTGTTTTTTCTTGATTCAGGTTACAACACAACATTTCCTACCTTGTATTTTCTTACGATGAAACCTTGGAGAACCGAGGAAATTATTTTTGATAGAAGTAAGCCTAGTGCGCCAGGGTGCAGTTTGGCTGGAGGGTGATCCCGGGGGTGTGGACTGTAACCTCGGTTCACCACTGCGGTCCCTGGAAGTAAGCATTAAGAATATGCACACCCTCAATCACTCATGTCAGAAGACACATTGCTCTCTGACTATTACAGGTGAAATTGTATTTTTGATGTTTAGTTATATGCAAATGATAGGACATTATATAGAAGTTTGAATGTAAAATGAATTTCAGTTAATCATACACATAACACATATGTGTAGTGTCATGATATTTGGGATATACAGTATTTTGATTGGATACAATGTCGATCAAGGAATTATCTCAAATTGAAGAGTGTAATTGATCATGCAAGCTGTTTATATGTACCATATACTAGATGGTATATTAAAAAATTGAAGAGTCACAATTGAGGGTCACCAGAGATTAAGTTTGAGCTGTGGGAAACTGGTAGAATATAAGAAAATGTGAGGGTACAGCCTTTTGTGTGAGGTACTATGTACAAAATTATATAACCATAAACATTTTGGAAAACAAATTTCCTTAAAGGTACTTGTCATTCACATAAGCAACTCTCTCAGAGATTAAGTTTCATATCCAAGATTGCTATATGCAATATGCCTTAAAATGACCTTAATCCCTACCTAGAAATACTGCGAGTGCGTGGCGTACGTGGAAGCGTGCGGGGACTGCTAACTGGTGACCCGGGACAACTGTCTGTGATTGACACACCTGTCAAACTACTTTTTCGTCTGAAATGGAAAATATTGATTATTGATTAACCTTGTTGAGTTTTCATTGTATGATATTAATTGTTATAATATATGAACTTGAAAAAAAATAATTAAAAAAGGAAAATGATTCTAATTCTTTAAATAGCTATATTTGTTCTTTTTTGTGTGTTTATTATCATTCCTTTTATAATGCAAAGCTCTGAATGTCAAGATGAACTTGTGCAGTACAAAAGATCTTCAAATAATGATATTCTGCATTCAAACTTACTAACCCAAAGCGCCTATGAGAGGACTAACAATATTAAGAGAATTCCTTGGCGTTGCTCTGTAATAATCTAAAAGGCCTGTTTTGGACTCAGATTGTAATTTCTACCAAAGGGTATTACCAGCCTATGATTATGGCAATAATTCTGGTTAAGTAAAGACCCATTGGGCTATTTTAAACATCTGCATTATTATACAAGGTCCACTAGGGGAACTTACATTCTGTGGACTGTTAGTGCCCTCCTTGGAGCAATGGGAGAACCTTCGCTAATGTTACCCAGAGATAGCCTGCAATGAAAAAATAAAATAAATTCTCACAATTCCCCCAAAAGGTGTTCATGCAATTTTTACAGCAAATACACCCTCATGATTATGAAAATTCCCAGACATGTTTTACTCCTTTTATTTTCAACTTTGGATCCTAGTTACAAGAAAAATGCAACTTCACAAAGTAGTAAATAGCACAGAACAAAACATATTTGTTATCATATCTAACTTTAATTTACATTTGATTACACTTGATGCAGAAATACATAAGTAATATTGGGGCTGTATTTCTAGAGTTATGAGGATGACAAATAAATGAAACACATGACACATATTGGATTTTATCTGGAGCTATTGATGACATCATTCTTCTGTAAAATGTTTTATTTTTAAATTTTGTAACAGAATGACAGCTGCTGTCTGTATGTTATCAGCAATTAAGAATGACAGTGTCGGATACACCCCTAAAATGTAATATGATTTTCGACGCCATTTTGATGCCAAATTTCGGTGCCGTTTTGTCACCAAATGGACTGACTAGTCTGATGGCAAATTTTGGTGTCGAAATGGTGCCGGAACAGTGCCAAATTTTTGCGGTGCCGAAACGGCGCCGAATTATATTGATAAAATACGTACCTAGGAGAACCATTTAACTGCACTGTATCTATCCTCTTCCTTGGTGGATCGGCTGCAACTTAGATATAGATACATTTAACATTTGGGATCTGCTAGCTCCTGGTGCAAGCAGTTAGGTAATTATGGAACCACATTAGATTCATGTTTCATTCAGCATGTTATCTTACAGCAGTTTACAAATACTTTGAATTTAATGACATAAAATCCCTTCATTATACAAATGTGAAAAAAAATGAACCAGCAATTTGTAAGCTGCAATACTTCATGATCTAATGTTGAATAAAAATATTGTTCACCTGATTCTGTTTTAGTTTTGATATCCTCTCCATCATCCAGCGATGGATTACGTAACTTTCTATCCAGGAGAAGGAAGTATACAACCTTTTCTGTATTATGCCTGAAATATACAACATTTTCTGCATTATGGTTGACATATACAACCTTTTTTGTATAATGCCTGAAATATACAACCTTTTCTGTATTATGCCTGAAATATACAACATTTTCTACATTATGGTTGACATATACAACCGTTTTTGTATTATGCCTAAAATATACAACCTTTTCTGTATTATACCTGAAATATACAACATTTTCCTCATTATGATTGACATATACAACCTTTTTTGTACAATGCCTGAAATATACAGCCTTTTCTGTATTATGCCTGAAATAAACAACATTTTCTGCATTGTGGTTGACATATACAACCTTTTTTGTATAATGCCTGATATATACAACCTTTTCTGTATTCTGCCTGAAATATATAACCTTTTCTGAATTATGTTTGAAATATACAACATTTTCTGCATTATGGTTGACATAAACAATAATGCCTGAAATAAACAACCTTCTCATGCCTAATATCCCAGATGCGAGTAGAAATAATCTTGATTTACGTCATTAATAATTCACACTGATGTCATATTTGGAATCTACATGTAAAATTACATTTAGAAATGTGGTTTTGAAAAGAGTTTATCAACTTTCAGATACATAAAGGTAATATGAAAAGTGAACCATTAAAACTGATGCATATTCAAGTTTAAGGGAATTTTGTAATACTCTGCCATGTTAATTCCCCCGAATCAGCCACCTGGTGGCGAAACTGGTAACTACCAACTCGCATCTGAGTAATTCACGCGTAACTAGGCAAGGTATGTCTGATTCCAGCTAATTGGAAGTATTTCATATGACAGCAAGTTGCATTATACAACCAATCATTGCACCCAAGGTCATTCTACAATGGTTGTCAAGGTGCCAATTTGACTCTACAGATTGAAATTGATGCTTTGCATACTTGACCCTTGCAAAAGATTTCTTTGAATATTATTTTAAGTCCTTTCATATCTTTTTTATTGTGTAAAATATTTCACAATGTAAGAAAAGAATTTAAGACCAAGACTTATGCATCATGGCTGATTCATTCCACTTGGGCGTTGTTTCCTAAACTTTGCATTCCCGCTGCATGGTCAAGCAAAGAATTGAAAACAACACCTTCAGAGGAATGATTCACTCCACAATGCACTGAGTCCAGGGCTTAAATCCTTAAATATACATAATGTAAATCAAAATAAACATTTACTCTTCTTCCTTTTATTAGTTTATATGCTTCCATTCTACTTTGCAGAGGTGGTCTCTACTTACCTTGAACTAAGTAACGCTTGCACCAACTTTTCTCTGTCCTTAAAACATTGTAACGAGCACATAGTTGTCATAATGTCAGGGTCTATTTCTGGAGCAGACGGAAGAATTGACGTCTGAAATCACAAAAATTAATCCCTATATTAAATAGCTATAGATGAAGACCTAGAGTATTTGGTTAAATGGATGTGTAGGTGTCATGTTTTTTTGGAGCAGACAGAATCACTGTCTGAAATGACAAAGAAGAATCATTTAATATGGACAGCTAAAATGTAATATGTAGTTGTCTATGCAGACACTGGAAACAAACAAAAGAAGAAAACAAAGAGACATTGCATCTAGTAATAATAATGGTTTGGCTGCTTCAGAACTCACGCCTTTTCCACATACTTACCAGCTTACAAGTTTGATTTTAAAATGCATATGAAAATGTGTCATACCTCAGTAATCCAAGATGCCTTAACTTGTTATACCTCAGTAATTAGACTAAATCCAAGATGCCTTTCTTAAATTTTCATGCATTGACTGAATTATGAACAGAAGCATGTTAATCTCAGTAGTGCATTTAGGGCAATTATTATACAATTGTATAATTGAGCATTTAATTAAGACTAAGTATGGCAGCGTGGCTAGTCCTTATGTTGGGAATGGGGTTTATTCAATTGTGGTGTTTAGCGAGGTCTTAAAGCCTGATTTGCAGTGTCATTTGTGATATGTCATGAAATTTTTATCTTATAATTAGACTTGAAAACACAGTTGTTTATAAAGTATAACAATCTGAATTCACAGATTGAGAAATCCTAAGTTTTCTATATGTCATTAGAGATATTGCAATTCATCAAAAAACAGAATTCACCAATTATAGAATTTAAGCCACAGTGTTATTACATTACTGCGTATTACAAAATAGGATTTATTCTTATACGAGAAATCAATATTTCCACTCCAGAAAATGTCACTCAAATCATGACTATTTCACACCTTGACCTTTGAACTCTGAGGGACTGAAATTATGTTATGGCGTTTCTTCATATAAAAAGAGCATCTTTCATGTCATTTCATTTTATTCCATGCTAATTCAACTCTTTTTACACTTATTGCAAGTTAAACATTATTTTCAGATACTTTTGCAACAAGGAAAAGAGGTGGCCTGGTTTCCCTGGAATCCACGTTGGTAAACAACATTTTACTATTATGCCCTTGGAGGAAATCTGACAGAAAGGTATTGGATTGAGATGGTGATAACAGTAATAAAGGGAAATCAGATCTGAAAATGAACTTCACAAAAAAGTGTTTTGATTTTTGAAACATTTTGGGCTCATATCTATTCTATAAGTTCCATAATTCTGTATTCATTATTTTGGCAAGTACTTCTGCACTACTTTGTATCATAGGATATTCATAATTTGGTAAGATATCATAGATAATTTGGGGAGATTATCATATGTTAGGTGCTCAAGTTGCTTGCAATTATGTCACCTTTTGATCCCTGGTTCTGCCTTAACAAAAAAGAGTGAAATACAATCAAGAAAATCGAACATCGAAAATTTGGATGTGGTAGAATGTAAGATGAAATGACATTTAATTTAAATAAATTATCGTAAAATGTCATAGTATTCACATTTATCTTCTACATGGAACATATCAATTGACCTTCAAAGGCAGAATCTCTGTAAATGGAGGGTGTGAGTAATAGGCCTAATATTCTAATCTACATGGACCTAATTTCCAAAGCTTCTTCTACACAGGCCTAGTTTCAAAATCGCCTAGTACATAGGCCTTATTTCCACATCTTCTTCTACAAAGGCTTAATTTCCAAATTTTCTACTGCATAGGCCTAATTTCCAAAATCTTCTACTTCATAGGCCTAATTGCCTAATTTCTAAATTTTTGTACTGCATAGGCCTTTTTCCAAATCTTCTTCAACATAGGTCTAATTTCCAAATTCATAGAAAAAAATCAATCTGAAGACAATTGATGATACCATCAGATAAGAACATAAACATGTAATATTAAAACATTTATTATCAATAAAACAATTCACTACAATGTTAATGTTAAATTATCTCACATTAGATAATCTTGGTAAGTTGTACACAGCCTTTGTATTAACAATTACAACTGAAATATATTTATCCATCTGAGAGTCTAATATCTCTCTTTAAGAACATCTCAAATTTTGAACACTCCTTCACGGTCCCTGTTTTTAGATAATCACCCATTTATCATGGTAGTAAGGTACCAGAATCTAGTCTGCATCTAGTTCAGTATTACACAATCAGAAGTCTATAGATGATTTTGTACTGAGGAGGTAAGCAAAGAATTACTGTTAGACTGCCACAGAAATCACTTTAATTTCCATTAGTATGCAACAATCATCTACTACTATCAATACACTGCAAGAATAAATGTTTTCCTAATTTGTTTTTTCCCAATATAGATTGCCGTGCCATGTGCTATCGGTGCAAAACAATTAATCACACCAGGTCTACAGCAAAGTACAGAAATTACATGTCACTGAAAACCTTGGAAAGCTTTCGCAAAATATCTCTTAAAAGCTTTTACTCATAATTGTGATGTTTCGAATGTGGCACAAAATGTTAAAGGGTGTTATTTGCAGTATATAAGGTATCAATTTGACAGAACAGTTACCAATCTAAAATTGCAATGTTTTAAATGTGGCATATTATGCGTAAAGTGTAATTTGCAATATATTAAAGGTATCATTTTGATGGAACACAAATGGAATTAAATAAGATAAAGGACAACTTGCCTTTCATTGAAGGAAAACACAAATCAAAGTGAAACCTCATTATTAAGTGATGAGGAATATATAATTGGTTCCTAGTCCTATTAGGCGAGTAGGAAATCCTCCAAGAGGCCTTATTTAGAGGAGTTTAAAGTCTACTAGTGAACCACTTGGAGCTATGCGAGAACAAAAAAATTGGGCAATTAGGGTACCAATAAGGGCTACTAGAGAACAACTTGGGGAAACTAGGGTACCACTAGGGGGCTACTGCCATATTGCCATTTATTGACGAAAATATGATTGATGACGTCATAATTAATATGCAAATGAGCTATTTAAGATAATTCATGCATTTTATGAGAGAAATTTTTATTCCGCTTTTTCTGATACCAATTAAAGTAAGATTGGTTGGGAAACTAAAAAGTTATACTCCAAAATGAATTAATCACTTATAAAGAGATTTGAAAAGTGGGCGTTGCCTTTGGGTCCCTTTTCCATAGCAACGGAGGCACATTTGAAAGAAAAAATTAATATCAGATCCTTAATACGAAGTCTCTAGCTTTAATTCGGTATATAATTTGTCTTCATACCTCTTGAGACTTTAAATTCCTTATTTTTACATAGTTCATACTCGCCTATTATGCGCTATGCATATTTTTACTTAGTAAATTTTCTTGACAATTCACAGACCAATCTAATTCTAACTTTTCACAACAATTTCAGATGAGGATAGACAATAAGACATGTGCATCAATTGAAAGACAATTTTCAAATTAATGCACTCAAAACAGCATATCATCATTTTATTTTACCCCTCCCCTAAACACAATCAATTAATGTAATAGGTGGGCATAGAGGTATATACTGAGATTTGATATCAATCTACAATTTACAAATGTTACTGGTATGATCTTATGCATATAGATCTGTAGAATGAATACTATGTACATGATACGATGACTTACCTATAGAATGAATACTATACATGATAAGATGACTTACCTATAGAATGAATACTATACATGAAAAGATGACTTACCTATAGAATGAATACTATACATGATAAGATGACTTACCTATAGAATGAATACTATACATGATAAGATGACTTACCTATAGAATGAATACTATACATGATAAGATGACTTACCTATAGAATGAATACTATACATGATAAGATGACTTACCTATAGAATGAATACTATACATGATAAGATGACTTACCTATAGAATGAATACTATACATGATAAGATGACTTACCTATAGAATGAATACTATACATGATAAGATGACTTACCTATAGAATGAATACTATACATGATAAGATGACTTACCTATAGAATGAATACTATACATGATAAGATGACTCACCTGTACTGCTTGAGACATAGGGACTTCTAATGAAACATCCGCAGCATCACTGAAAAGAAAATTATATTATACATCATTCTTTATAGAAAAAAATAAAAATTGGAATAATAGGCTGTGAAATATATTCTCATGTTATTTTGCAAATAAGTTAAATGTAAAGTAGTTGTATTTTCAGAAGCCATGTCAGCTTTCAATTTGGAAAAAGGTTGGTTCTTGCTAGTTCGGATTTTCCTAAGTTTATCCTGCCCCAAATCCAACATTTTTATATTCCCATTAAGACTAAGATTAATAATGAAAAAATATAAATCTAAAACATAATATCTAAATAAATACTTACAATTGCATCCAAGGGTGTTTATATATACTTTCTAACTGGAAAGAAGAAATACAGAAGCTCAATAACTTATATTCTCTTACCATTAACAAACATTTCTTCATCAAATAAAAAATTTTCAAAAATTGCTTGCCAGGAAGAAAATGAACAAAAATGTTTTATCATAACAGTGTCATTTAAAAGACAAAGCACAACAGTTAACTACATATTCTGGAATCAAGATTCTTTGTATTTCATCAACGTTGATACAAAAACAGATGATGCACTCGTTGATACCATATATGATACAAAGTAATTACTTAGATATAAATCACAGATAATACAACTCATCACTCTATGCATTATATATTATACATGATTATAAAAATGATCAATATAAATATAAAGCCACTCACTGTTATTCTCCTAGTTGCATCCACTTCTATCATACTGCGAAGAAGGTTTTGACAATCTGGGGGCACAAAATGTGGAATATGGAACACCCCCTTTTTTACTTTTTCTAATAAATTGCGTAAATTATCATCATCAAATGGCAATGCTCCCTGAAAATAAAAGAATATAAAACTTAATGAGAATTTAATGAGGCACCTTTTCAAGCTTAATATTTATGTAATTAATAGAAGGTTTATTGATGGTTTTTGGAGGTTTATTGATCGTGTAAGTCACAGATTTGGGGCTGATTAAGGATCAACTTTGCAGATACCATACCAACCTGTATATAGTGAACACATATGAAGCCTCAAAAAGTGTTCACTGTAGGTAGGTGTTCACTACAGCGAGATGATCTTTTATCTTACTGTATCTTTTACTGTATATGAATGATTACCATTTTCTGCTTATGATTATCCATTAATTATTATTATAGATAATAGTGATTAAGTAGGCATATAATAGTATAATTATATTGAATGTGATTATTCAATCAATGAATCACTGTTGTTAATGAACATATATGTGATAGTAATGATCAATTGAGCACAACAAAATAATTCAATTGTATTGAAAACTAAAAATTTAAGATGTTTAAATGATCATTTAATAAAATAAAATAGTTTGCATTATAATACATGTAATGACAAATTCAAAACTATGCATTATGCCTGTCACAGAAAAGCGTGGCAATAACACTAACAGTATAATATATCACCTGTACTACTTGCTAGAAAAAGCTGTTAAATAAGTCAACTTCAATCTTTATGACACAGACATCCATAAGATACCACTAGCACCAGATACAAACATACAATTGTCATGTTTAATGGCAGATTTATTGTTTTCAAACAACATCTCATAGCCTTATCTATAACAAAATACTTTTGTTCTTTATGGAATCAAGATATTTTTATGACGGAATTCATCAATACGATATCAGACTCAAAATCTACAAAATATCAGAGTTAATTTTCCAAGTCTTTCAAATTCATATTTGGTCCAGCTGAGCTGATAATATTAATCAGAATGATTCATCAATATTTTATCTGCAATGTCCAGTATTAATGATTAATCATCAAGAGCAAAGGGCAATATTTTACTCTGTACGATTCAAAGGATCTCCAAGGAAACAATTAATATCAATTTATGAAGACTATGAAAATGTCTCAGCTATAATTGTTTCTTAGTTCTAATTCATTTCTTGTACTCTGTAGGTTTCCAGCATCTTTTCAATATCCCAGGTAGATTTATTCAGGTGGCATATAAAAACAAGGCATTAACATGACAAAATAACACCACCTAGTTGCTCACAATATTATGAGTTCAAACTTAATATAAGTCAGATTTGAATTTCTGAGAACTTGTAAAGTCAAATTTGAACTTCTGAAAAGATGTCGATGATTTTGAAAAAAAAATTGGGTCAATTTGAAGCAAGTTGAAAACAGACCTTTTTGACCTTTTTTGACCTTGAGAAGGTCATTAAAGGTCAAATGTCAAATCTAAAGTCAGATTTGAATTTTTGAGAACATGTAGATGATTTTGAAAAAAAAATTAGTCAATTTGAAGCAAGTTGAAAAAAGACCTTTTTGACCTTTTTTGACCTTGAGAAGGTCAAATGTCAAATCTAAAGTCATATTTGAATTTCTGAGAACATGTAGAATGTAGATGATTTTGAAAAAAAATTTAGTCAATTTGAAGCAAGATGAAAAAATACCTTTTTGACCTTTTTTGACATTGAGAAGGTCATTGAAGGTCAAATGTCAAATCTAAAGTCAGATTTGAATTTCTGAGAACATGTAGATGATTTTGAAAAAATTTTTTAGTCAATTTGAAGCAAGTTGAAAACAGACCTTTTTTGACCTTGAGAAGGTCAAATGTCAAATCTAAAGTCAGATTTGAATTTCTGAGAACATGTAGATGATTTTGAAAAAAAAATTAGTCAATTTGAAGCAAGTTGAAAAAAGACCTTTTTGACCTTTTTTGACCTTGAGAAGGTCAAATGTCAAATCTAAAGTCAAATCTAAAGTCATATTTGAATTTCTGAGAACATGTAGAATGTAGATGATTTTGAAAAAAAATTTAGTCAATTTGAAGCAAGATGAAAAAATACCTTTTTGACCTTTTTTGACATTGAGAAGGTCATTGAAGGTCAAATGTCAAATCTAAAGTCAGATTTGAATTTCTGAGAACATGTAGATGATTTTGAAAAATTTTTTTAGTCAATTTGAAGCAAGTTGAAAAAAGACCTTTTTGACCTTTTTTGACTTTGAGAAGGTCATTGAAGGTCAAATGTCAAATCTTAAGTCAAATCTAAAGTCAGATTTGAATTTCTGAGAACACGAAGATGATTTTGAAAATTTTTTTTAGTCAATTTGAAGCAAGTTGAAAACAGACCTTTTTTGACCTTGAGAAGGTCAAATGTCAAATCTAAAGTCAGATTTGAATTTCTGAGAACATGTAGATGATTTTGAAAAAAATTTTTAGTCAATTTGAAGCAAGTTGAAAAAAGACCTTTTTGACCTTTTTTGACTTTGAGAAGGTCATTGAAGGTCAAATGTCAAATCTTAAGTCAAATCTAAAGTCAGATTTGAACTTCTGAGAACACGAAGATGATTTTGAAAATTTTTTTTAGTCAATTTGAAGCAAGTTGAAAACAGACCTTTTTGACCTTGAGAAGGTCATTGAAGGTCAAATGTCAAATCTTAAGTCAAATCTTAAGTCAGATTTGAATTTCTGAGAACACGTAGATGATTTTGAAAAAAAAAATTAGTCAATTTGAAGCAAGTTGAAAACAGACCTTTTTTGACCTTGAGAAGGTCATTGAAGGTCAAATGTCAAATCTAAAGTCAGATTTGAATTTCTGAGAACATGTAGATGATTTTGAAAAAAAAATTTAGTCAATTTGAAGCAAGTTGAAAAAAGACCTTTTTGACCTTTTTTGACTTTGAGAAGGTCATTGAAGGTCAAATGTCAAATCTTAAGTCAAATCTAAAGTCAGATTTGAATTTCTGAGAACACGTAGATGATTTTGAAAATTTTTTTTAGTCAATTTGAAGCAAGTTGAAAACAGACCTTTTTGACCTTTTTTGACCTTGAGAAGGTCAAATGTCAAATCTTAAGTCAAATCTTAAGTCAGATTTGAATTTCTGAGAACACGTAGATGATTTTGAAAAAAAAATTTAGTCAATTTGAAGCAAGTTGAAAACAGACCTTTTTGACCTTTTTTGACCTTGAGAAGGTCATTGAAGGTCAAATGTCAAATTTAAAGTCAGATTTGAAGGTCAAATGTCAAATCTAAAGTCAGATTTGAATTTCTGAGAACATGTAGATGATTTTTAAAAAAAATTTAGTCAATGTGAAGCAAGTTGAAAAAAGACCTTTTTGACCTTGAGAAGGTCATTGAAGGTCAAATGTCAAATCTAAAGTCAGATTTGAACTTCTGAGAACATGTAGATGATTTAGAAAAAAATTGAAGTCAGTCTAAACAGTATTTGTTAAGTTATAGGAAGTTGTAAGAAATTGTTACAGACGCCAACCGCCGGACGCCAACCGCCGGACGCCAACCACCAACCGCCGGACGCCAACCGCCGTCGCAAAAAAAACGGAGACCATAACAATATGTCACCACTTTTGGTGGTGACATAATGATCTTGATCTAAGGTATTAGTATTTGCAACACCAATGTATAAGAGAATAATTCCTTAGAAAAGCATCTTCCAATTACAGGGCTTCAAAATCCAGAATATATTCTTTCTTTTTACCCCCTGCGATAAGCAGTTACAATTTCCCCGATTAAGAACTCGCAATCTGATTGGCTGTTGCAACAGATATCCTGTATAAGTCATTGCTCATAATTAGATCACGTGATTCAGTTAAATCGGGCGCTTCCAAAATGGTTATAGCAGGGGGGAAGAAGGAGGTACGGATTCTGGACACCAACTTAGGAGGATGTTAGAAAAGTGACAGATAACATTTGATGAAAATATGAAATATCAAGTTGTTCTGCCTGTCCAATAGCTCTTCCATTACATTTCAAAAATAGGTGATGTGCAAAATGGAATGATGATTGGTGATAAAAGTAGTTTATAAATGGCTGTCTACATACCACTAACAATGCATATAGTATCACACCACAGCTCCAAACGTCAGCTTTACGACCATCATATTTCTCCCCCTGAAGGATGGAAAAACATAAAAATTAAACATTTTTGTATTACTTTTTTAATCATCATTCTTTACTTTCATTAAGGGATTTGTAGCTTTATAAAGCTACTTTATAGTTTGAACTGAAACTTTTTCTAGATTTTTAACAATTTTAGTGAGAAATCTGCATTTGCTGTTGAATGTTTCAACTTGATGATTAGATGAATACCGTCATCCATTGACATAAATCTCCCACTTATCATGTTTCAAACTGAGCTAATTTTTATTGTACTGATTACCAACAAAATAAATGGAATATTGTCACAGGAATAAAACAATAAATGTAGTAAGCATGTCATGGCATACATTAAATATTTTAAAAAACACCTGTCATATTTAAACATACATTTACATTAATAGTTACGAGAATTTATTCTGCAGCATTAAACTGGTCTCACTGAAATTAATGATTTTTTCATCACATCCATAAATTCTAAAAGTACAAAATCACTGAAGGGCCAATAAAGATGATTTGACTATACTTTCGAAAACATTGTCACATCCCCTTTGGACATTTCTGTCTAAATCTTGAATAACTAACTTCGACATTTCAACAGATATCCCTTTTCAGATTCTGAGGATTGTAAAGGAAATATTCAGGTTGTATCAGACATTTATTCTTTGTTTTCACTAATCAAGAGTCATATCCAGGATGCTTTCATCATGACAACAATCTCATTTCCCAGACATAAGACATTCTATATAGTAGGACTTCAATATATTACAAACTCTAACTTACCCTTATTACTTCAGGACAGGCATAATGAGGTGACCTGAAAAAATCAAAATGAGAATATAATTTATGTGCAATGACATAAATGAGTCTCTGTCAAGTGTCATGAAGGCTAACCCAACAACACAAATTATTTTGGGGTCTTAACTGGTGAAAAAAAGTACCCCAAAGTAGGCAGTTAGGCAAAGTAGGCAGTTATCAGTTTCACCATCAGGTGGCTAATTTGGGACAGATAAAATGAATATTCAGAAGTTTCAGTGGTTCAATTTCATATTACCCCCATGTATCTGATAGTAATACAAATTAAAATATGTCCAGTAAAAGAAAATATTACTGTCCAATCCATTGGGGTTTTGTCTAACATCATATTTTCAAACATGGCTATTACTTTTCAAACAATTTCCTTAAAATATCAAAATGCATGGGGTGCTATTGCAGTATCAAAGCAAGAAAGGTATATACCTTCAGCAGCAAAGCATGATAATATCAAAAACTTCAAAATGTGATTGAAGAGTGATACCAAAAGAGAAATAACATCAACAAACAGTTTTCAAAGTCACCCAAATCCCAATCAATCAATTTGATATTTTGATCAAAAGAACAAGCCAGAAAAAGATCCCAACACATATAATTGAAAGGCAGAATCAAGAATGCATATTTAAGTATTCAGTGGTACAAACTATACTTGTACAATAGACTAGATGCGAGTAGAAATAATCTTGATTTAAGTCATTAAATATTCAAAATTATTACCACCTTGCCGGGCCAGTTCTAGGGGTTTTAGTGCTAGTTTAGAAGGCGTTCATTATACTATATCGACCTGAGCAATATGTGACGTGATAGTGGTGGTCAAGAATGCATTTCAGACAGGTCGTGAATGCATTTAACGACTGGCAATTTTCCCCGGGAAACTAGATATCGTTCAGTGCGTAAGATTTTCTTGCTGTTTCAGTCCTGGTCATTAACGGTGGTAATAAAACTAATAACATCATTTCTGCGGGCAATATTAGACAAATACTGGATGACCATGAGGTGGATATGCCAAAATACCTATCCGAGGAAAAAAATACTAGGTGAGGCGAACGAGATCTTGCTGCCACATATGGTAATAGAACGAGATCTTGCTGCCACGTATGGTAATAGACCCTGCAGCTCTTAACCAATCAGATATGAGTATTTTAATGAGGTGCATAATAAAGTGAAATATTGGACCTTGGGCCTCGGTTCAATATTTCACTATATTGCCCTTTGAAATGACGTTATTGTACTATTCAATCTCATATTTGAAATCTACATGTAAAAGTACATCTAGAAATATAGTTTTGAAAATTGTTTATAAACTTTGAAACTTTAATTCTTTTGAAAATTTTGGGGAGATTCCCCATAGACCACATGTTATAAAATCACAAAAAGTTAAATATCTTTTCTTGTATTGGACAGATAACATTTTCTTTTAGTGGACATATTTTAATTTGCATAAGTATTAGATACATGAGGGTGATATGAAAATTGAACAACTAAAACAGATGAATATTTAAGTTAAAGAGAACTTTCTACCATACCCGCCATGCTATCTGACCTGAACAAGCCACCTGGCGGTGAAACTGAAATCTACTCGGATCTGAGTTATTACAGTAACATTAAATATTTCATTGAACTAGAAATAAACACAAAAAGTTACATTTCCAGAGACTCATTCTAAAAATATGAAATACTGTAAACTGTAGAAATCAATTTGTTGGTTCGATGAACATTGTGCAGTAGCTGTCAAAATGAATGTCTATAGAAAATAACTTCATTGAATAGCACTGGATCCTGCTGAACAAAAAAATGTTTTTTCAAATCTTAGAAGAAACAACAAGGCAGTATTGGTATCTTCTTTTGGCAAAGACTACACCATGACATTAGATACTCGTAAAAACATGGCTGAGAAGAACTGAGGTGTCAGGGTTCAGTAACGAGCATGAGGGGGGGGCAAAGTCATTCCCCTAAGATGTCCACTCCCTAAAATAAATTGGGACTCATCAAAAATTACCCCTCCCTACATATATTGACATCATCAAGCATCATGTTTTAATTTTGGACCCGATTCTAAAGAAAGACATGTCTCAACTTTCTGAAACTTATCTTTTACTGAATCGGCCAAGTGCATATAATACGCCTGCTTCGGACAAATTTGATATTTTTCACATAGTTTGATTTAAATATTATTGATTTAAATGTCCTCTTTTGAATATTCATAATTATTTCTATATTTTTTATAAAAAATTATTAGCCCAGTAGACTGTTCTCAAAACTGAGACTTGTCCTTTGGGGCCCATTTTATCTTTTAAGGGCCCAAAATTTCTAGCACCTCCCCTGTTGTTTATCATGATAGAATTGCAAATATGATTTCATTTAAGACTAAATGAAGAATAATTCAATGAAAATCAAGATTATTTCTACATACCTTATCAATCAATTTTGTATTATGACCATATCAATATAATGCCTCTCCCACTATATGACCCCCTCCCCCCTAATTCTGACAATGTGTTCCCGAGCCAATAATTAAATAACAAAAATTAAGATATAAAACAATAAATTTTTATTTTTATAATGATAACTGAGAAAAATGTGTTGAGGCAGTTACAAAGTATATGGAACCCTATGTTTAACTAGTGCCGATGCAATCTTCTTACTCTCTCTGTTTTAACATTACCTAAACGTTTCATCCTTTTTTCTAATTTTCTATGATAATGTATCTCCTGGGTTGCAAGTTGGTGACACATTTCTGAGTCTTTAGCATATTCATTAAGGTTATATCCAAGAACAATGTCATCATTATAGTCAGCCTTCAAATCAGCATCTCTTATTTGGTCACCTGACACAACTCCGTCGACACAAAAATCAAACCACTTTTGATTGAATTCACGGAATTTCTGTACTTCCAATATCAGCTTTTGGAGGCCATAACGTTGAGCTTTTAACCAAAATGTTTTATTAAAGTATTCATAGAGGAGAACATCTCCTTTGTTATATTCCCGTAAAATATTACGTGTTTTAGTTGAGATTTTTTTTTGGGGGGTTTGACTCACAAGTTTGTTCATATATAATATATCCTCATTTTTCCATTGGAGCATATCACGCATTAGGATTAATCCTTCATCAATATATTCACTTAACATCACAAGATCAAATATTTTGCCAGCTTCTATAATCTTATCCTTGATTACATTCATATTGGTAATATCATGGATAGACACTCCCAAATCATAGAGCATTGAGTTTTGAGCATTCACATTGGCACATGTACCCTTTGGTAAAACTCTTGCAAAATCATTGATTGTTTTTATCCCATGTTGTTTGAAACAGTCTGGAAAGTTGAAATAGTTGAAGGATGATATAAACTGTGAGTCTGGATTCCTTATTATTGTAATGTATTTGGTGTCAGCAGGCATTACGCTATGCACGCTTCTGTGGTAGCGGAGATGGTTGCACATCACATTAAATGGCTTGATCGATGGCTTTACAAAGCTAGGAGAAAATACTTTGGGGTACGAAAATGAGTAAAGACCTGATTTAGGTAGGGCAATATTAAGAGCATTTGAGTCAACATAACGGAAGAATATATTCTGCATTGTTGAACTAGCAGTTTTATGGAGCTTGAGAAACATAATATTTTTGTGTTTAATGCTTCGTATTTTCTTTTCTTGATGTTGTATATTGTCAGATATATTCTGCATGTTAACAGCTAAAAGTTGATGAATCACATCGCTCAATTTCTCATATGTTGCTGCCGGGTGCTTAGCCCGAGATGTATCACCAGTTCTATAGTGAAATTCATGATATCCCTCCCCATCATCTTTAATACGTCTAATGGGTATATACACCTGCTTGTTGTCCGAGACTGTAGGCTCAGAATATTCCAGTCCATATAATACACATACAGCAATCACAATAATATATCCAACAAACACATGTACAGGCCGATGATGTTGGACAAATGTTCCTATATTTTGACAGCGAAACATTCTACAACTCCGCATTATACTTAACATAACTGAATTCTTCAAATCTTTCAAAGTTTATGATGCAAAGTTTTTAGAATCCTTTTTAGAATCATTGAATCAATGGTAAGTATTCCATCTGCTCCAGATTAGTAATCAATTATGATTTCTCTTAAAATGTTTTATAAGTAAATATTACATCATTGTAAAGCAGCTGCAGTCCTAAGATTTTAGTCACTAATATACATAAACATGTCTAATTTTATACTGTATATATTATCTGTATAATATGTATGAAAATATGTCAAATGTATGATAAGTAAATCATTTTACTGAATACTGTGGTGATATACTAAGTTTGTCATGGTATATAGCTATACAATCTATTTTTAAATGGGAATGTCCACAGTCCAATGCACTAACAAAATTACTCTACATGATAACATAAGCAAGTATATTAGTGCTACAGCAATAAACTGGATGCACATGACACTTGAAGCGTGATTGGTTTAAACTAATGTTTCCATAGTTACCTAATGTTTCCATAGTTACACACTGGCAAAAGTATTATTCAAGAGTAATAATTTGATGAATGTTCAACCAGGCCAGGCATTTTTGAGTCTTTGAATCTAAAATTACCTTAACATTATCTTTAGTTATCGAAGTATTCAGTGTGTAATAATTAACGATTAGGTATATGGATGTAGAACTAACTACCTTAATGTAATGCTCACTACTTAAACTAACATAACATTAAAGGCCCTGTGAAAAGTTTGAAGATATAGTTTAATCATTCAAATATTATACTTTTCATGATTTTATGAAAAAAACTTTCATCTTAAAATTTTCAAATAATTGAATTACCCACCATTTTACAAACAAAAGTTTAGATTTTAGGTCATCGAATACTAACACTTAAGGAGTGACCAGCCACTATCTTATGACAATATGGTCAAATTTCAAAGATTCATTTGACAACTTCAAATAATAATGAAATAAAATACTAGCAATTGAGTTAATTTCTTGCTTATTTTTCAACCATTTTTTTTATTTTTTCAGCACAAAATAGGTAAGCATGTATAATATGCATTGGTGTAAATTATTGCTTAACAATGCATGTATGTGACAACTAAAATTTTATTTGAAATAAATTCATAACTTTTTTTTAACAAAAAGTCCTTCAAATTCAACTTTCTGAAATGAAAAGTTTCAAATAGCACATTTTGGTAACATCGGGTAAAACTATATGTAGCTTTATGAGGCCTTAAACCTATTTACCACCAAATATAAATGATCCTTATTTATTAATTTGGGAAAAACTGAATTGAAATACATGTAAATGCCATAAGCAATTTGAGCAAACGATCACAATTTGATCTAATCAAAAAAAGACATGTTAAGACAATGGGAACTGTCAGTTTTCTCAGACTGATAATAAATTCCAATGCAGACAGTTTAGTTTATCATCAATTCATACTGGTACAGGCGTAGCTTACAAAACTATACAAATTGATAGGGATATATAAGATGCAACGAAGAATGATAGAAATAAAATATGAATAAACAAAAATAAGAGGTATTGAATTGGTCAATAGATAGTTCATCTTTATAGTATCATCTTCAAATGATGAGAAACACAATAAAACTTCTATTCAAAGCACCCATTGTTTAAATTCATAAGGTTTAACTTATATTTACTATTTATAGAACAAGCTAACAATCAGACAGTATATGACTATCAAACCTTTATATTAGAGGATGCATCACTCAAGCCTTTCGAGAAGACACTTCATTCAACCTTCAAAGAGGACACATCATTTGAACTTTCGAGAAGACAAATCATTTAACTTTAGAGGACACATCATTTGAATAAGAGAAGACATATCATACAGCCTTCAGAAAACACATGATTCATTTTTTAGAGAGAACACATCATTTGACACTAATTCAACATTTAGAGAGGACACATCATTTGAACTTGAGAGAAGACAAATTATTCAACTTTAGAGGACACATCATTTGAATAAGAGAAGACATATCATACAGCCTTCAGAAAACACATGATTCAACTTTTAGAGAGAACACATCATTTGACACTAATTCAACATTTAGAGAGGACACATCATTTGAACTTGAGAGAAGACAAATTATTCAACTTTAGAGGACACATCATTTGAATAAGAGAAGACATATCATACAGCCTTCAGAAAACACATGATTCAACTTTTAGAGAGAACACATCATTTGACACTAATTCAACATTTAGAGAGGACACTTAGTTCCACCTTCAGAGAAGACACATCATTCAACCATTTGACTAGATTACTAGACATTATTATTCAACCCTTAAAGAGGATATACATTTATTTCCCATACATTTATACAGTGACATAATCCTGCTTATTTAGTCAAAACCAAGACCAGTTTGATGCCATGATTCCCAGGGACTATCATTCCAACAAAGAATATTTCACTTGACATTCAAATATTTATACTATTAATCAAAGAACCAAAAGTTTGATTGTCACATATAATTTTTTTTGTAAAACTAATTGCCATGTGTATTATTTTGTCAATTTCACATTTTATAAACAGTATAGTAAAACCTGTCATAGTGAACACCTCTCACTACTGAACACCTGTCTCTAATGAACAACTCTTCTCAGCACATACTCAACTGATTGTATAAAATTGGCTCTCTGTAGTGAACACCTTCCTATAGTGAACACATTTTTGAGGCTCCATAGGTGTTCACTCTACAAATGTTTTACACTGTATACTAGTCTGAGAAAAGACTAAGTACATATTCGTGAATGCAACTAACGCCTGTCAGCTACCGGATTAACCTACTTTTTCATGACCAACTCGTTTAAATATGATTGGAATAGTGGCAGGTACTATTCATATTTAAATGAGTTACCCATAAACTAGTAGGTCAATCTGATAGCCGACAAGCGTTAGATGCATTCGCGAATACAAGGTAAGAGAAGATACTGACTTATTGTCGCATATGAACAAGACAAGTGAAAAAGACGTTCCACTCATACTTTCTCTCAGTAAGTGACATCTTTGAATAATATCACCAGAATTGTAGATTATCATTTCTAATCAAAACTGACACTGAGCTAAAAGACAAAAATTGTCTAATCAGTATCAATCACTGACATAAGTGATTTATAACATGACAAGATCTGATTTCCATTTCCATTATTTAAACATTAATTGCTGTCTGTGGATAACAGTATTTTTGTATTTCTATAATATGATTTACAACTTCCTACTGAATGTTATGCCCTTCATAATCAGATATAATTATTAAATATATAAGGTAGCATATCAGGACTACCAAAACAAGAGGTACACTACTGGAGAAAGAATCTGTACTTACCCACAACTGGTCTCCAACATGGAACCCTCCACTTGTAGGGAGGCCATGCCAAAGTCAGCTACTCGTATGTTATTTTTCTCGTCCAGCAGTAAGTTTTCAGGCTTCAAATCCCTGTGACTAAAACATAGAAACAAATGACTTTGGAATTATCTGAGTGAATCAAGATTTATTCCAACAATATCAAATAAATAAAAGATCACTTATATAAGGTGTCACCCTCAACCTCCCCACCTTCAGCCAATCTTTGACCAAAGAACCCAATACAATAATGTAGTCAAAATATCACATATTTTTTCGAAACATGGTACTAATCTTCATTTTACTTATCAAGACATTTTAATATCTCAAGGAACAGACAGATTTTCAACAGAGTGTCATATGATATTGCTGTAATGCTGGGGACTGGGAGATCACTGTATCATCTTACAGCTTATATTCATATGATCATGTTATTTATGATTTCTTTATGAATAATCTTTATTTGAGGAAGAAAGCCAAGTAATCTGGGTTTTCCAGAGAATCAATCTTCATAATTCAGAACAAGAGTAATGCACTTTAAGCAAGTAGTGGGGTTTCATTAAAAGCTTTGACATAAGTCCAAACATAAAATTTTAATTTCAACATAGAATTGTGAAGTATTTTGGGCCCCTTGAAATTTTTGCACTAAATTCTACAATCAACCCAATTATTTACTCATCAGCCATCCAATCACGCTAAAGAAACTTTTTTGAAGTACAGATTCTTTTTCCAATAAATGAGCTAAAAAGCCTGTTCCAAAACTTTTATGATTTCAGTTCAAAACTGGTATTTTTACCACCTATATATCCTGCACTCAAAAAATTCTTTTCATGTAGAATTTAGTGTAAAGCATACAAGATGAAGCCCTAACCATTAATATCTGTATACTTTACTCACCATATGGAATGACTATGACAAAAATCTAATGCGGATATTATTTGTCGGAAAAATTTTCGAGCTTCTTTCGGAGTTAGTCGACCTTTTTTCACTAAGTAGTCAAATAATTCCCCTCCGGAGACATGCTCTAATATTAAATATCTGAAACATAAAATGAGATAATCATTATTATGAATAATTACATATTAATTATTTTATTACATAAGTAAGTTATTAGTTGGCACTTCCTCAATAAGACCTTGCAAATTAATTGTTGTTTCATGTCCATTTGGTTTTTTGAAACATCTCAAGCAAAATCTTTTCTCTTGCTTTTTTAGGTAGTTGCCTTCATTTTTAAGATGTATTTTTTAGCAATTTTCTGAGAGTAAAATGAAGGAGAAAACAGTCTAGTAACAGTCTTTTTCTCTGAAATAATTCTTTCTAAACAGACTAAATTATCCTGTAAGAGCCTAAATTAATTATGTCATTAGTTCCCTAAATTGGATGCAGAGTCTTACATCAAGTCTCTTCAATTCTAATTCAACTATAACTACTTTGGAGCCACATTTTGTCCTCCAATGACTGATAATACCTCAATATATTAGGGCTCTGGACATTCTGAACCCAGTGGCTGCTTTATTCCATTGAAATGAGTAGAAGAGGCTTATTGCAAGTCTGTTAACTGACCAGTTGTATACCCTAGATTTGGTAACTACACTTTTGACATTAAGTCACAGACTTTTACTGTTTCGGCAGGTTATGTTATAAGCCATACCCATTAAGCACCAATGGGTATTAAGCATATTTTTTCACTCAGATGTGCATGAATTTATTAACTGTAAAGAGATCCATGCGGTTGCCCCCCCCCCCTACTTTCAGTCAAAGGAATGTATATCATTATGACTCATTCGAAATACTTTAAACTATATTAACTAAGAATAAAACCTCATTATCATGTCATACTAATATACTGAATAAAGCAAACCATAAGAGTTCAAGCTTAACATATAGGTTCAGGCACTATCATGAGCACTATAATGAAATTATTGCAATGAAATCATTGCAATTACAGGGTGAGTCAAAAAAGGTAACTGAAACAAATGTTTTTAATAACTCAGTCATTCATCATATCATATATCATATATTCAAAATCTTATTTGGCACAAGTGAACCTTGTTCGATGTTCTTTCATACTAAGTTTCATCGATCTATCCCCAATGGTCAAAAGTTTACAAAACATGCTCTAAATGCCAAAACAGGCCTTATACTCACCAGACATTAAACAACCCAGATTTTATCTATGAGCTAATGTCTACATTAACAAACCATGATATATTGAAATAAGAAATAAGAATGATGATGCAAGCCATTGCAATGTCTGTGCTCGTGTAGTGAACAACTTTGCATGAAATGTTCCAGTTTGCCTCCAGACTTGATACTGGCATTTCATAGCATGTCTTGTAAAATGACTATAGAATCGTGGCCATTAGGGATAGACCAATGGAAAATTGAACAAGGTCTAATTTTGCCAAATATCACTTCAAATTCATGCTGAATGTCTGAGTTACTAAGATTTGTTTTGGTTACCTTTTTGGGTTACCCTGTATTTCAAAAATCCTCGTCTTATGCATAGTATAAATGAAGACTCATTCAATTCATATTTTTTGACAACATTATATTTTTACGAAGTGATATTGCAAGATGGATGGGGGAGTGATTGTACATATCTGAATTATCACATTGAAACAACAAGAAATTAAATGCTTTCTGATCTTATGTTTAATGACATGTAATAGTAGTTTTGCACTTCAGATTCATGACGCTGATCCAATCATGTTATTACTATTTCTTAGAATTTAGAATAATGGCTCGATCCATCTACTATGGCTACAGGCAACTAAATAATAATCTAGAATTACTATTAAGTAAGTAAGTAAGGTATTTATTAGAGTCTCACGCTGTACAAATTAAAATACATTTTGATACAATTGATTAAAACAACAGCTCAGCCGGCTCCGGCTTATGAGAGACTTACTAGAAAGAATCTAGAAATACTTTAGTTAATCAAGATAGAAAAAACATAAATGTACTTACAAATATTTTTTATTTTCATATACATCATATAGTCCCAATACATGTGGATGTTCTATGAGTTTCATAATGGCTATTTCTCTCTCGACCTGAAATCACAGAATTTGGAATTCATATTTATAAATTGATTAAATGATTCATCAAGTACTTGTGTCCCTACCATTAATTTACTCTCATATAACATGGTTTGTATAAATATACAATAAGGGGATATACGTAGTTGCTTTACGTTATTATGGCATCACTTGGACTTGCAAAAGTCAATCATGTGAAAATCAAACATGCAACTTAACAAACAACAAACAAACAAACAAACAAACAAGCAAGCAAAATATATTGATTCGACATTTTGATTGGTGACAGGTAATACAATAGACAGACACTTATATCCTCCTCTGATCTAAGAGACTTGTCTTTGCCAATGGAAATCCAACAAATGATAACCCAATACTCGTTACATAATTTCATAGAAGCACCAGTGTCTAATTCAGAGATAGACTTCTTTCATAATAGTCTCACTTGTAGCAATTATATGACCCAGTCTGAACCTTACAAGAGTAAAATAACTTCTAGGAACATAATGTTGCTATTTCTACTGCCATCTGCCATTGTCATAGGTAATGCATGGATAAGATGTGATCCCGGGGATGTGATGCTGTGACATCATCGCTGACTCAAGCCAAATGTGTTTTGCTACCTCAAGGACACAATACAAAACAGTGCTTTACTAAATAAAAACAGTCAAAATTTGCCTACTTTCCCCCTTGCAAGAACCCTCCATTCATAGTATGTCTCTACTAAACACAGATTGAACCAATTATTAGCTAATAAAGCACAGTGAATTTGCAGTTAATCCACAGATCTCGCAAGGTACCAATGGTGATATATAAGGTCATATATCTATTCCTATTCAAACCAAATCAATGAAGGTAATATATTGAGCAGGAAACATGGGCTGATGTAAAAGCTACAATTTCCCCTTTCACTAAATCATGAGAGTCAGAGTTTCTTATTGTAACAATGTAAAAAGAAAGAAATGAATGACGCAATGTAGAAAACTAAGACACAGAGGTGACAACTCAGAGTGCAGCTTTATAACAGCTCGACTATTGATACATGTTGTATGTAGTAGGGATATGGAAAATCAATGCTGAATGTGTAATATTATGAATGGGTTCTCATCGATTTTCCAATCCCCTTAGAAGACTTCAAGAGTGGTTGACTCATATATGGCAAGACTTGTATTATCACATGTAAAAAGATATCTCAAGGATATGTAATCTTTAATTATGTAATCTATGGGCACTTGTTCTACACTGTCCTTTCTAGACATTTCACCCTTTGACTATTCACACCTTAGACTAGCATCTAGTTATTTTGAATGTCAAACATATTTAATTATATTTCAACATGTGTCATCTCTTAACATAACATTGATATCCTCAAGATCACCTGCAGAAGACACTGCCACCAGATATCTCCAAGATCACTTTCATGTGATGCTGCCACCAGATTTCCTCAAGATCACTTGCAGGAGAGGCTGCCGCCAGATATCCTCAAGACCACTTTCATGTGATGCTGCCACCAGATTTCCTCAAAACCACTTGCAGGAGAGGCTGCCGCCAGATATCCTCAAGACCACTTACAGGAGAGACTAACACCAGATATCCTCAAGACCACTTACAAGAGAGGCTAACACCAGATATCCTCAAGATCACTTGCAGGAGAGGCTCCCACCAGATTTCCTCAAGATCACTTGCAGGAGAGGCTGCCACCAGATATCCTCAAGACCACTTACAAGAGAGGCTAACACCAGATATCCTCAAGATCACTTGCAGGAGAGGCTCCCACCAGATTTCCTCAAGATCACTTGCAGGAGAGGCTGCCGCCAGATATCCTCAAGACCACTTACAGGAGAGACTAACACCAGATATCCTCAAGACCACTTACAAGAGAGACTAACACCAGATATCCTCAAGATCACTTGCAGGAGAGGCTCCCATCAGATTTCCTCAAGATCACTTGCAGGAGAGGCTGCCGCCAGATATCCTCAAGACCACTTACAGGAGAGACTAACACCAGATATCCTCAAGACCACTTACAAGAGAGACTAACACCAGATATCCTCAAGATCACTTGCAGGAGAGGCTGCCACAAGATATCCTCAAGACCACTTTCATGTGATGTTGCCACTAGATATCCCACAGATAGCCTCTCCTGCAAGTGATCTTGAGGATATCTGGTGGCAGACTCTTCTGCAAGTGATCTTGAGGATATCTGGTGTCAGTCTCTCCTGCAAGTGATCTTGAGGATATCCAGTGGGAGCCTCACCTGCAAGTGATCTTGAGGATATCTAGTGGCAGTCTTTCATACAAGTGATCTTGAGGATATCTGGTGGCAGCCTCTCCCGCAAGTGATCTTGAGGATATCTAGTGGGAGCCTCTTCTGCAAGTGATCTTGAGGATATCTAGTGACAGCCTCTCCTGCAAGTAATCTTCAGCATATCTGGTGACAGCCTCTCCTGCAAGTGATCTTTAGGATATCTAGTGGCAGACTCTTCTGCAAGTGATCTTGAGGATATCTGGTGTCAGTCTCTCCTGCAAGTGATCTTGAGGATATCTAGTGGCAGTCTTTCATACAAGTGATCTTGAGGATATCTAGTGGGAGCCTCTTCTGCAAGTGATCTTGAGGATATCTAGTGGCAGCCTCACCTGCAAGACTGACAGTCTCTCCTGCAAGACCATTTGCAGGAGAGGCTGTCACCAGATATCCTCAAGATCACTTGCAGAAGAGGCTCCCACTAGATATCCTAAAGATTACTTGCAGGAGAGGCTGCCACCAAATATTCTCAAGATTACTTGCAGGAGAGGCTGCCACCAGATATCCTCAAGATCACTTGCAGAAGAGGCTCCCACTAGATATCCTCAAGACCACTTGCAGGAGAGACTTCCACTATATATCCCCAAGACCACTTGCAGGAGAGACTAACACCAGATTTCCTCAAGATCACTTGCAGAAGAGGCTTCCACTAGATATCCCCAAGACCACTTGCAGGAGAGACTAACACCAGATATCCTCAAGATCACTTGCAGAAGAGGCTCCCACTAGATATCCTCAAGATCACTTGTATGAAAGACTGCCACTAGATATCCTCAAGATCAATTGCAGAAGAGGCTTCCACTAGATATCCTCAAGATCACTTGCGGGAGAGGCTGTCACCAGATATCCTCAAGATCACTTGCAGAAGAGGCTGCCACTAGATATCCTCAAGATCACTTGCAGAAGAGGCTCCCACGAGATATCCTCAAGATCACTTGCGGGAGAGGCTGTCACCAGATATCCTCAAGATCACTTGCAGGAGAGGCTGCCACTAGATATCCTCAAGATCACTTGCAGAAGAGGCTCCCACTAGATATCCTCAAGATCACTTGCGGGAGAGGCTGTCACCAGATATCCTCAAGATCACTTGCAGAAGAGGCTGCCACTAGATATCCTCAAGATCACTTGCAGAAGAGGCTCCCACTAGATATCCTCAAGATCACTTGTATGAAAGACTGCCACTAGATATCCTCAAGATCAATTGCAGGAGAGGCTGTCACCAGATATCCTCAAGATCACTTGCAGGTGAGGCTGCCACTAGAAATCCTCAAGATCACTTGCAGAAGAGGCTCCTACTAGATATCCTCAAGATCACTTGCAGGAGAGACTGCCACTAGATATCCTCAAGATTACTTGTATGAAAGACTGCCACTAGATATCCTCAAGATCACTTGCAGGAGAGACTGTCATCAGATATCCTCAAGATCACTTGCAGGTGAGGCTGCCACTAGATATCCTCAAGACCACTTGCAGGAGAGTCTAACACCAGATATCCTCAAGATCACTTGCAGAAGAGGCTCCCACTAGATATCCTCAAGATCACTTGTATGAAAGACTGCCACTAGATATCCTGAAGATCACTTGCAGGTGAGGCTGCCACTAGATATCCTCAAGATCACTTGCAGAAGAGGCTCCCACTAGATATCCTCAAGATCACTTGCGGGAGAGGCTGCCACCAGATATCCTCAAGATCACTTGTAGGAGAGGCTGCCACCAGATATCCTCAAGATCACTTGCAGGAGAGGCTGCCACAAGATATCCTCAAGACCACTTTCATGTGATGTTGCCACTAGATATCCCAACAGATATCCTATTAGGCTCCCACTAGATATTCTCAAGATCACTTGCGGGAGAGCCTGCAACCAGACATCCTCAAGACCACTTACAAGAGAGACTAACACCAGATATCCTCAAGATCACTTGTGGGAGAGGCTGCCACCAGATATCCTCAAGATCACTTGCAGGAGAGGCTGCCACCAGATATCCTCAAGATCACTTGCAGGAGAGCCTGCCACCAGATATCCTCAAGACCACTTACAAGAGAGACTAACACCAGATATCCTCAAGATCACTTGCGGGAGAGGCTGCCACCAGATATCCCCAAGATCACTTGCAGGTGAGGCTGTCACCAGATATCCTCAAGATCACTTGCAGAAGAGGCTCCCACTAGATATCCTCAAGATCACTTGCAGGAGAGGCTGCCACCAGATATCCTCAAGATCACTTGCAGGAGAGGCTGCCACCAGATATCCTCAAGATCACTTGCAGGAGAGGCTCCCACTAGATATCCTCAAGATCACTTGCGGGAGAGGCTGCCACTAGATATCTTCAAGATCACTTGCAGGAGAGGCTCCCACTAGATATCCTCAAGATCACTTGCGGGAGAGGCTGCCACCAGATATCCTCAAGATCACTTGCGGGAGAGGCTGCCACCAGATATCCTCAAGATCACTTGCAGGAGAGGCTGCCACCAGATATCCTCAAGATCACTTGCAGGAGAGGCTCCCACTATATATCCTCAAGATCACTTGCGGGAGAGGCTGCCACTAGATATCCTCAAGATCACTTGCAGGAGAGACTGTCATCAGATATCCTCAAGATCACTTGCAGGTGAGGCTGCCACTAGATATGCTCAAGACCACTTGCAGGAGAGTCTAACACCAGATATCCTCAAGATCACTTGCAGAAGAGGCTCCCACTAGATATCCTC